GATTCTGTAAGGCCTAGTCTGAGTGGCACAGGAATCTTTAGCCTCCAAGGACTCCCACTGTACATTTTCTACTGCATCTTTGCTGGTGGTCTCCATTTCTACTACTTAGTCCACTTAATTTAATAGTCAGTTGCCTTATGAATAGGCCAACACACCTCATTCCCATATCTCTGTTCATTTATGCAGCAAAGTCAAACTCCATGGCTAGGAAAATCATTTTTAACATTATGATAGATGGGAAGGGGAAAAAAGATCAGACTGGAATGTGCTGAAAAAGTTTCCTTTATTTAATAGACAAAAGTATAATAGATTAACTTTGAGTTGAAAATGAACAGCTTAAAAGGAAAAGGCAACAGAAAAAAAATTTTTTTAAATCATAGTATAAAGAAAATATGTTTTTTATTTTGGCTAAATAAAATATAATCCCATGAATAAAAATTAATTTTTTAAGAAAATTACATATTGTTGACTTGAACACCTTTCATCTATATCCCAGCACTTCCTTTATTTATAGCTTCTTTCGGTAAAAGCAGAGATCTCTGGTGGCCTATTGGGTAAGGAGTTGCTCTACCAACCCAAAGGCAGGCAGTTCAAATCTACCAACTCCTCCATGAGAGAAAGATGGGCAATCTCCTGTTGCGGGATTTATAGCCTCTGAAAACCCACTGGGAGGTCAGCTATGAATTGGCTCCAACTCAGCAGGAATGAGTTGAATTGTATTTTTTAAAAGCCACAAGACTTCCTCTGCCAGTTCCAGGAGCCTCTCAATTGCTCTAGGAGTCTAGACTCAACAGTGGTAAATTCAGTGTGCCTGTTTGCTTCAGGGTTCATCTTTTCTCTCTCCCCATCTGTCTAGCACATCAGCTTGGACAAGGGCACCAGATGAGAGCACACAGTTGGGTGGGTGGCAGGACCATAGGAGTAGCTAGGTGGTCATTGTAATTCGGAAGTAGACCAGGAGACCTAGGTCTCAAATTCTGGAATGTATGAGAAATACCTGGAGTCCTAGTTCATACCATGTTTCCTTGGCTTATGTGATGTAGTAGAACTGAGGAGCCCCAGAATCAGAATTTCTAATAAAAAAAAGCCAGGAAGTTTGCTGCCAGTGATGAAAATGTGCCAGAAATTTTTAGCCAGTGGTGAAACATTGAAAGAAAGGATACATATTTTCAATGTAAAAAATAAAACCATAAGAATCAGCCATTAATCATGGCCCTACAGAGCCTTTTAGTCTTCCAGGAAAAAGTTCTTTTCAGCACAGGCTATACAGGAAAATGACATTCAGGAATCCTGTTCCAGGCAAAACATTCTTGACTGCACAACATAGGAGTTGGAATGGCAGGCTCTTATATGATTAAATAAGCCATAAAGAAGCCATCTATCCCAAACCCTTCCCTGTGCAGAAGTCTCACTTGCCAAGGGCTTGTCCAGCCTCTGCTTCGAATACCTCAAACAGCAGGAAGCTCCCTCCCCATAATAATTCTGTTGCTTGTCCTTCTCACATGGAGCTTATCCACCTCACCCAGACTTTTTGTCCATGGGTGCTGACAGATTAAAATTTCCTTTTTTCTTCTCATAGCACAACCTTTAAAGATCTGGAGACAGCATTCCCATCTCCAGGCTAAATCTCCATTCATTTGTTCAACAACTATGTTTTGAACATGTATTATGAGTCAGGTTTGTCCTGGATCCTGGGGAGACGTAGGCAGACAGAGCTCCTGCTGGGCCATTCTGTATAATAAGGTCATTCGAATAACAAGCACAGAAATGTAGAAAATAGAGGAGTTGGTGAGATGATTGATGTTGCTGGGAGGTGCCTCACTAAATAAGAGAGGCCTGGCTGAGGTGACACAAGACCTGAGGCTTGAGTGTTCCAGGAACGGGCTGGGTGTGGTCAGCAGGTGGAACCAAGGCCATCCTGGCTACTGGGGACACAATCAGCAAGGGATACTGTGAAGTGGGAGGACCTTTCCCTGGGTGTCCACTGTTTGCTTTCTGCCACAGTTAAAGTCTCCTCCCCCTCATGCCCTTCCTCCAGCTCTTAACTCACTCACCACATGTGGCCTTCAAGGCCAGTGCAGCCCCGGGCTGGGTCTACAAAGCCCAGATCAGAGCTGCCCCAACTGCTGGCCACTCAGACACATAGAACCACTTTCAGTCCTTTCCTTTTCCTCCTGGGAGACAGGGCAGGGAACTCTGATGGCATCATGAGCAGGGAGTTACACTGTTTATTTAAAGGCAGTGCCACTCTGGGGGTTTATCCACCAGTGACACCTCAGGAGACAGATGGACAATCTCCTCCTCCTTTACAGCCTCCAAATGCTCGCTGGAGGGTCAGCTATGAGTCAGAGCCAATTAAATGGCAATGAGTTGAGAGATACTAGTTCCATAAAACCATTTTTACGTGCTAACTTGAGAATTTAGTTTGGTAGTGCACTTGGCCATTGGTCCCAAAACCAGATGTCCCCCCTCACACATGAATTCTAGTTTAGGCTGCTGCAGGAAGCAGGCACTGAACACCTATCAGATATTAATGGAGCATTGTAGAAATTTGTCTGGTGGCATATGTGTTGTGCTGCTAATTGACAGGCCAGTGGTTCAAATCCAGCAGCTGATCCAGAGAAGAAAAATGGGCAGTCAACTCCCATAAAAATTCACAGCCTCAGACCTGGAGGAGGGTGTCTGTGAGTCAGAATCAACAGCAGCGGAGAGCAGCTCACGTCCACTGTCACAGAGGACGAGAAGCCCAAGGCTCTCTTCCAATGCAGGGAAACAGCTTTGGAATCTAGAGGATGAGGCAGGATATGAGGCCTGCATTTTTTTCTTTGCTTTTTTTTTTTTAAGGAATGTGTGAGGTCTATAAGAACTTTAACGGATGAGTTTGTCTTCTGAGACAAATCACAAAGCCCTCTCTACTGGCGGATGCTGACTTGTGGCCAGTGGCTAGCTTCCATCTTCGTGACTGAGAGACAAGATGGCTGGAGTCAATTACATCAAGCATAGAGCCCTGGGCCACTCTTGGGGACTTTCTAAAGAAATGGGCTTGGGGTTGTCCATGCAAAGTTTGGTCGTCCGTACAAAGTCTGGAGTGCTTGCCAAAGAGCCTGAGGAGGAAAGCCTGAGAAACAAGACCAAAGGGACAAAAACATTTGCAAGATGGGGGGATGCCCCCAACTCAGTGCTATCTGGGCTGCAGTGAAGGGCATAGGTTGTGGGTGGTCATCTGTGGGGTCTAAGCTGGCACCCACACTGAATTGAAGTCTGAGGCAAGATGGAGTGGACCAGGTTGAAGGAGCCAGGCAGTGCCTGGGCAGATCATGGAACAGCACAGGCATAACTCAGTGACTGCGGGTTCAGCTCCAGACCCCCACAGTATCTTCATTAAGCAAGCTCAGTACAGACAAAACCTATGTCTACACTGTACTGTAAGATAGCATTATGAAAAAGTCTGACAGAGTGTAAATAGCCAAAATGGGACACAGAGGCATGAGGGGTGAGCACATGCTGTTGGGAAATTGGAATCGGTAGACATGCTTAATGCAGGGTTGCTACAAACTTTCCTTTTGTGAAAACCAAAAATCTGCAAAGCAGAATAAAATGAAGTACGCCTAGATTGCCCTTGGGAGCACTGATTACGTGAAAAGGGGCACTGACCGTGGCATTGGGGTTTGATCCTTACATTCTCTAACTGGATGCATGGCAGCCAGACCCCGCCACTCACCAAAGGCTCTGGAGTTGGCACAGACCCAGGTAGTGTCCATAGACCCTGTCTCTAGTCCTCAGACCTGAGTGGGCTCTAAGGTACAAGGAGTTCAGACAGGCCTGGTCTTGGGTGGACTTCTTGCTTGGAGCCTTGCCCTTCCAGAGGAATAAGTCTGAAATGCCCAGATTTCAGTTCAAGGTCATTATTTCTCTATTGGCTTATACAAAGAGCACACATCAGTCCCTCCTTCCCTCCCCACGACCACACGTCTGTCAGACAATACCAACACCAAGCGGGTGACAGGTGACTAACTTCAGTGCCTACCATGCCGCTGAGCACTGAGGCCTGGGACGCTAAGTGAGGGGTCCTTCTGTGATGCCATCCCTGGCCTGAAGCCCTGAGGAGACTATGAGTAGGCCCAGAAACAGAGTCACTTCAAGTGAACTCAGCCAGACCCACATGCTAGGTCCTGCTTGAATGTGAGCAAGCGTGTCAGTCTGTGGTGGGCGTTTGTCCTGCGTGAGGGTGTGCCTGTCCTTGTGGGTGTGCTTCTCTGTGGTGAGGCAGCTGGCAATCCTGAAGTCTCCTCCAAGCATGCCTGCACCCCAGATGGTGAGTATCCCCTGACTTCCCACTGTACCCAGCAGAACACACCGTGAGCCACACGGACTCTGGGTGACAGTGCAAGGTGAGCCGTGAACCCAAGGTGCTCCAGTGGAGAGCTGCTCTGGAGGCGTTCTTAAATAAAGACAGAAAGGAAGCAGGACAGTGCGTCAGGGCTCCTGTTGTGTTTGGTGGCACAACTCCAAAGGAAACCCTCGGGACCCTCTGCCCCAAGACTTGTGAGCTTCCCCTGACTGCTCCCAGGAGCCACAGCCCTGGGCCTGCTTGTCTCCCCTGCTGAGCTGTTAGCTGCTGGTCCTCCTGGTCCAGGGGAGATGCATGAACCCTCCACTGTCCCTGCTGTCCCGTTGCCCAGTGTCTTCAGACCTTGACCTTCTGGACTCAAACTGCTCCAAGGCTCCTGATTCTCATTCTCTGTGGAAGCCTCATTACCCTCTCCTGGGTGGATCAGACGAGCTGCCAACCCCTCACTTGAAGGTGTAGACAGACCCCTATCACAGTGCCTGGGCACAGAAAGACCCCCGGGAAGTTGTCACTTTGGGCACAAATGCTTTGACTATGTCCCATGGGGCCCTGCCTCATCCTCAGGGCAGTTGCTTTGTGAAGCCCAAGGGGTCTCGTGTCTCAGGGTGCTAACCACCAGCCATCTCTCTCTCCCTCCCTCCCTCTCAAGCCAATGGCAGCCCCACCTCAGGCCTGAGCACTGGAGCCATCGTGGGCATCCTCATCGTCATCTTTGTCCTGCTCTTGGTGGTTGTGGACATCACCTGCTACTTCCTGAACAAGTGTGGCCTGCTCATGTGCATCGCCGTCAACCTTTGCGGGAAGGCCGGGCCCGGGGCCAAGGGCAAGGACATGGAGGAGGGCAAAGCTGCCTTCTCGTGAGTACTCATGCTCAGGCCTTGCTGAGATCTGGGGGCAGCTGACCTCAGAGCCATCAGCAGGGGCCTTGCTGTCAGCTTCATGACAGCCCCATGCATGTCAGAGTAGAACTGTCCTCTAGGGTTTCTAGTGACTGATTTGTCAGAGGTAGATCACTAGGCCTGTCTTCCGAGGTACCTCTAAGTGGACTTGAACTTCCAACCTTTCATTTTACAGCCCTGCATCTTTGCAGCATGCATAAACGGTATACTCAATGGCAACTGGCTTTCCTCAGCTTCAGGTTTTCCAGTTGAAAACACTCTCTAGGAGAAAAGAACAAATAGTAAAATGTTTCTTAAAACATAGTCTTTGGAGATTGCTGTTTGAAAAGCATATTCTTGAGCCCAACTGCAGAGCTTGAAAATGCCTGCAGAGGTGAGAATGAGTGGATTTGTCAGAGCTGCTTCTGGAAACAAGCCGGCATTTGAGGAAGACATTGATTTATTCTGGTGTCATTCAGCATCTACTGTGGTCAAGATGAGGCCCTGTCCCGAGACACCAGGGTACAGCAGTAAAGCAGATAGGAGGCTCCTGTTCTGTGAAACTGGTGGTCCAGACGCTGTTCCCTCCAGCAGCTGAGGGGACGCACATCCAGAGCCAATTAGCAGGAGTTTTCTCAGACTATCATTGAATCTGACTGAGCCCCACCAAGCAAGGAAGGGCCTGAACTAGAAAACAAGTTGCTTACCAGCACAAACCAACATTATGGATACACATTAGTCACCAGAGAAACACGGCCAATAGAATGCCTATATCTCCATCTACTTATGTATCTTTTCTGTCTGTATGTCTGTCTCTTTCTTTCTCTACCTATTGATCTATCTCTCAAGAGATTTATTGTAAGAAATTATAAATGTCAACAAATCCAAAGTCTAGTCTTGGGGCAGGGATTCTTCTCCCTTAGAAAACTTAGATTTATTTTTTTTTATATATAGACTTAAAACCAATAATATGAGCTTACACACACACATATTATGGAGGGAAGTCTGCTTTACCTAGAGTTAACTGCTGGTAAGCATTAATCAGATTAACAAAATACCTTTGAAGCAACATGGGAACTACATTTGACCAAACAACTGGCTACCAAAGCTTAGCATATTGACACACAATTACACACCACACATGTAAATGTATGTACACACATATACTTGCATGTATGTATAGAAAGTTATAGATATATGCTTATAGGTTAACTAAACCTATAAGTTTAACTGATAAACTGTACTAGACCCTGTACTGAGCTCTGAGCATGTATTATTTAATTATCCTAACATCTAGATAAGGTAGCTAGTATCTGCCCCATGTGAGAGATGAGAAAACGGAAATAAACTGTGATTACGTTAGATGCGCCAGGGCACACAGCCAGTAGAGCTGGGACTAAGACTGAGGTACATGTCTAGCTCTGGAGTGTCCATGTCCGCTCCCCACAGCAAGCACGAGACCCCGCTGGCTGCCCGAGCAAGGCCACCTGCCAGCCTTTGGGCTAAGCTCAGCCAGACCCTGATCCACTGACCCATGGGCATGGCTTTAACCAGCACAACTCCATCCACAGGAAAGATGAGTCCAAGGAACCCATCGTGGAGGTGCGGACTGAGGAGGAGCGGACACCTAACCACGACGGGGGGAAGCACACGGAGCCCAACGAGACCACGCCGCTGACGGAGCCCGAGTATGTGAGGGGCGGGATCTGCACCCCTCGGTGGAGTGCCCACCTCATCGACCCTACCCACCCTCCTATGGTTCCCACCCCCTTTTGCAGGCCCTATTCTGCAAATTCCAGGAAAATACCTGGCCCCATCCTCTCCTTAGAAAAGTCTCCATTATATTGGGGATGCTCTGGGGGGTCTCTGAAGAGGCCCAAGTGGGGGTCCCTGGGCTCTGTTCCCACATTATACACACCTCCTAAAAATGGCATCAGAAGATGGCACCTCACTGAGAGGCTGGGCTTTGAGAGGCTTAGCAGATTCTGCTTAAGACTTTCTGGAAGTCTTCCGTTTACTTTCCCAAAGTTCGAGGGAAGTTGGAACTTGATAAAGTTCCCTGAGCTTCCTGTTGTTGGCTGAAGCCCCTGAGGTCCTCAGAGAACCTAACCAGCTAGCTATAGCCACACTCCTTGCCTGGCACCCAGGCACTATGGGTTTGAAGAGAACGGAGTTTAATGCAACCACAGAATCCATGGCTGTAAGATCCCATGGCCCTCAGAGGCCTTTTAGGGCCTTGCCATCTACCAGTGAGGTCGAGGAGCTGACCTTCCCCTTCAGTCCCTGTGAGGCTCCACATGGCCTCTGGGCACTGCTGCTCCAGGACAGGTGGAAACTTCCGTGGATGGACACTGAGCGGAAGGCCCTCTCTCTTTGAGTAGACGTTTAGGGCAGGTCTGCAGGGTGTTTGTGCTGAGAGCTCCAGGCCAGTCAGTGGGGAGGAGAGCCGCAGGTCCCTAGTAGCTGCCCTGTATCTCTGTCGTCTCCTGTGTCCTCTTCTGCCCGTCTCGGCGTCCTCGTCTCTCTGTGGGCCTGTGTGCCTGTGTGCGCCCATCTGCATGCCCGGCCCACGGCCCCTCTCCGTGGCTTCTGTCCTTCTCCCCCTGCTTCTCTGTCATGTCTCAGCTTCATTGTCTATTCTCTCTACTTCCTGTCCTTCCCACAGGCTGCCTGCTGACACCACAGCCACTGTTGAGGACATGCTGCCTTCTGTCACCACCGTCACCACTAACTCTGACACTATCACCGAAACCTTTGCCACTGCCCAGAATAGCCCCACCAGTGAGACCACCACCCTCACCTCCAGTATTGCACCCCCGGCCACAGCCATGCCTGACTCAAACTCGGTGCAGCCTGGCCAGGCCACCCCCTCCAAGGGGCCCGGTGTCTCCACCTCCTCCCCGGCCCCAGCTTCGGCCCCCAAGGTCGCCCCCCTCGTTGACCTGAGCGACACCCCAACCTCAGCCCCAGCCACTAGCAATTTGTCTTCTAGTGTTCTGGCCAATCAGGGGGCTGTCCTCAGCCCCAGCGCCCCTGCCAGTGTGGGCGAGGCCACCAAGGCCCCTCCAGTGAGCAAGCCAGCCCCCAGCCCGGCCCCCACCCCAGCGGGGACAGCCAGTCCCCTAGCAGCTGTGGCTGCCACTCCCACAGAAGCCCCCCAAGCCAAGCAGGAGGCTCCCAGCACCAAAGGCGCGGACCCGGAGCCCACCCAGCCTGGCCGCGCGAAGAGCCCGGCCCAGCCGGCCCTGGCTAGCCCGAAGAGTGACGCTGCCTCCGCCAGCGCCACAAACCCTCCCCAGGGCGAGGACTTTAAAATGGACGAAGGGAACTTCAAGACCCCAGATATTGACCTTGCAAAGGATGTTTTTGCAGCCCTGGGCTCTCCTGCTCCCGCCGCCGGGGCCAGTGGACAAGCCCCTGAGCTTGCTCCTTCCACTGCAGACAGCTCTGTCTCGCCTGCACCAGCAAAGACCGAGTACGGCTTCTCTTTGTCTGCTGTCATCAGGTCGTGTCCTGTAGTGGTGTGCGTTTGTGCTGTGCTGTGTCCTCCTTGTTAGACGTGTCTTCAGACTAATCCAGGGCTTCTCTGAGGATCTGTCAACCAAGGGACTGGGAGAAGACAAGAGAGAGCAGGGCCAGGCAGGACGTGGGGAGCAGAGCAGCCTCCTACTCACTAATTAGGCCATGTTAATTATGCTTCATCCTATCTTCCTAGCAAGGGCCCTGTGTTCCCTGAGGGGAGAGGGGGAACAGGCAGCAGAAACACAGATGAGTATAATGTGGGGAGCTAGCTAAGGAGGCCACTGTGCCTTCATCAGACACCCTGGGGCCAACTATTGTGGGTTATCCAGTGCCAGGCTGGGTCCCCTCCAGAAAAGTAGTGGGCACTGAGCCCAGTGTCTTGAGAGGATGTGGCTCAGAAGTCCCATCATATCCCGCATCCCAATGCCATTCCTGCTTCTGCTCTTGGACAGACAGGAAAGACCCCAAACACTGCCACGAACCAAACGGCCATTGAATCTCTTAAAGCCCAAGGGCAGGTCCTTAACTTCACAAGTCCCTTAAATGTGATAATAGCATCTGTTGAGGCTGATGTTGCACCCGCCCCAGTGCAGCCTTAGCTGGTGGAGGTAAAAGGCAGACCTTCATTGCTCTTGAGGCTCTTGTGACTGCCTCCAGGGTAAGCTGTCACCAGGAGCTACAAGCAGAGTCTCTCTCCAAGGCCCTGATTTCACTATTGGAAAGTAGATGTGCAACCACAGCCCTTCCCACTGAGCCCCCCCACCCCATGCTATCCTTTCTTGTAGCAAACTGGTCAGAGAGCCACAAAATGCTGCTTCAGTTAAAAAGCATGCTCTCTCACGCTGTGAAGGCTAGCTACAGAACGTGGGATGAAGTGAAGTGAAGTGGGAATACAGGCAAGAACAGTTTGCTTGCAAGGGGTCCCTGCAAAATCAGTGCTAGGGGTCCCAGTCCAGGATGCCCCACTGCTTCTCCGCGCCCTATCCCACTACCCAAGACAAAGGCAAGACCCCATTGTCTGCATGTAGAATCTCTCGGTGCTTCTAACATGTGGATGGAGCACTGGGTACAGGCAGCAGTGCTTTCTAGAGTTCCCGTGAGGATTCCAAGGAGGAGCAGTGGTTGGAGACCAGTGCGCTAGCCAGAGTCCCTCCTGAGGGCTTGGCTGATGGGGTGAACTGGCAGCAGAACAAGGTCTCAGGGTGCTTCCCCCTCCTCCCCCCCGTTTTCTACAGGAAAGGCCCTGTAGAAGCAAAGTCGGAGAGCCAGGAGACAGAAACGAAGCCAGCGCCGCCGGCTGAAGTCAAGACGGTCCCCAACGATGCCACACAGACAACGGAGACCGAGAGCAAAGCATGATGGGTGATGAGCCGCGAGCAAAGATCAAAACAGTGACACACCTTCACCAGAGCATTTCCAACACACACACACACACACACACACACGCGCGCACACATCTCATTCCTCTAGTGTCTTTTGCCTTTAAAAAAAATAATAAGCAGATAAACACGGGATCTCCTTTTTGTAGGTTTATAGAAAGGGTTCCTTTGTTGGCAGTCACTTATAAGAAAACGAGACAAAAAGGTTAAACCCACAGCCAAACTAGGACACTCCGTTCCCTGAAACCATTTAGAAATCAAACAAAAGGACCCCAAATTAAGAATCTAGGAAGCTCAGAATAAATCTAGGTTCACGAAGACCACACTTGGTGTGTTACCCAATTGGCACAGACCAGTTTCAGAGAAATAACTTCCAGGCACTAAGACAAACCGGATGAACAAAGTCCACAGTTTATTTTTATACTTTCAGTCGAGTTTGAACTCTGTAAAACCTCATAAATAAGTTATAATTTCTGTTCACTTTGTATTTGTTCAGTGTGCAAAGTGTGTCACCCTTTCTAGCTGAATTCAATTCCCACTTAGACTCTTGTTTTGTAGGAAGAATGCCAAATTGCAGCTTCTGGGGGTAGGTTTCAATTTGCAGTATTTGGACTTCTTTTTCTTTTTTTTATCCCCTCTCAGTTCTTTGGTGTTTTGGTTTTTTGGTTTTTTTTTTTCTCTCTTTCATCAACCTTGTTTTCCAGTGTTTACAGATGGACACACGTTTGACTTTGGTTGTGTTTAAATGTCCATGTAAAATAGCTGCCTTTTTTTTTTAAATATTAGATACCGCCTAGGGTGGGTAGGACCATCGAAGACTTTAGCACAGGACACCTTTACCAAGTATGATTGTTTACAGTGGCTCTTCCTCCCATTCCAATTTGCATTTTTGGCCTGGGGCTAGCCCAGGTATGTCATTCTGGAATGGAATGGTTTTTACTTTTAGGTTTGGGGTTCTGCTTCTCCAGTGGGGGGCTAGGCCACTTTTCTGATTACCCACCATCCGCCTGCATGGCTGACAGGAACTGCTCCCAGGCGGTCAACCGCCTTCCTGTGAAGGACTCGCTAGGCTTTGTTGAATGAAGCAAAGAAGATTGTATAGTTGGGGCTGGTCTTGGTGAACACACATTTTTTTTACCCCAAACATCCCCTTTTTGTAGAAAGCCAAATAAAATATCTATGTACCATTTCCTTTTGAGCCCAGAATCTAGATTTGAGTGGAAAGAGCACTTGAGCTTCAGGGAATTAGTGTCGTCTTTTGGAAATCTGTTGAAGTAAAGTAACATCGGCAGCAAGTGTAGAAACAAACGGAAAAAAATAAATTACCAACCTGCTGTCTTGAGTCATAACACAACTTTCCTGGATTGGAAACCAAGGTGGGGGGAAAAAAATACAGAAACTTTATGGGGATGGGAGGGGGGAAGAAGGGAAAAGCCAGCCCTTTGTATAGAAATTTTGCTTTCTTTTCTCATTCTACTTTAGAACTGCAAGCTTGTGCACTGTGGATGCGTGACTATTTTAGTGTGAAACGTGTTTTTGTCATAGTATTGAAATAAAACTTCAACATAGTTTGGTTGTGGAAGGTATAGCAGATAGTTCAGAAAAAAATATTATTCAGGAAATAAACAATAACTCTGAAAAGGAATTGAAGCCTTTAAACAAGGAAAATGAAATAAAAACGCAGATGATGATAACTAAACAGGAATCAGTACTCCAGCACATGTTCCTTTCCTAAAGTACAAAACAGCAAGAGGCTAGGGTGGCAGGACTGGCTGTGAGCCCTTCATCCTGTGGGCCACGCGCTCCGATGTTCTGACGATTCTGCCGTCTGGTCAGTGGCAATGCTAGATTATCATTTCAAACTGTGAAAAAAAAATTGGTCTTGTCATTTGCTAAATGTGGGGTTCTTTTGCATTTTCTCAGCTCCTGGGGATGGAAATGGAGGATCCCAGTGTACACAGCCCTGGCCCCTTGATTCTAGGTGTGCCCAACTCTATGGTTCAAATGCACAGGCCTTCAGGAAGACAGGGAACTGGCGGAGTTCTCAGAGCCCAGAGTAGAATGGGAGGACTTGGATGTCTGAGATGGAGAGAAGCCAGCTTTTCCTGTCACCATGTTGTTCAGTACAGTCAGCTTCTCATGTTGTGACGTTAATGCCTTTGGCCGGTTAAGCCAAGCGCAAGCTATACCTCACTAAGACTGGGCATTCCATTCCAAGTACATGTGGTTAGGCAAACTGATTTCAGTTCTGATGGTTAGGAAGAAACCAAGGTATAGTCTTCTCTCCCTCAGATAACCCGGCCCTGGGGCAGCTGCCCCCTGCCTTGAACCCCTGCTCCACCACTAGCTGGAACCCAAGACTCTGCCCACATTGTGGTCTACCCTTCTCCCATCACACAATATAGGTTAGTCTCAGCATGCTTGAGCTCTCCTTTCTTTGCAAAAAAAAAAAAAAAATTAATAAACCAACAAAACACACAGAGCAATGCTCTCTCCACAGTCTAAGAGGGAGACACTTTATTTTCAAGATGTTCTTTTTCCTGAAGAGATAAAAGCTTATCATTTTCCTTTTTTCATTTTCTTAGAGGCAGGATCAACTCTACCAGTTTCTGATGTCTCTATGTGTCTATATGTGTATGTGCCATACATGTGTATTCACATAAGTCCCGGCGTGGCCAGGTTCTGCTGAGGGGGCACTCGTGTGCCGCAGGTGGGGTCTCCCAGTCCTGGAGGGCCGTAGTGTACATAGTGCAGCTTTTGACGTGGAACTCTATTTTCACACTTTTCTATGGAGCCTTCCAAATCCCAGGTTTTCACTCTAGGCTGTCTATCCGGATGGTGGTTTTCAGACCTCCATTAACATCCCTACCCAGCATTCCCTACTTCGGGGGCCTTCTCTCTTGTTATAAAACTTTTTACCAAGTGAAACATCGAGACCACCTTTGTTTCCATTCTCACTGGTGTAAATACTGAGTACTAACTGAGAATTTTGACTTTGCATTCTGTCAGAATACTTGTGTTCAATAAAAACTGAAAGAAAAACAAAAATATTGTCCAAGTGGCATTTATTTTGATTCTCGAGAACACAGTGTGTGGATCGGAAGAACAGGAGCTTGTGTGTATCTAGTTACGGTTCAGTCAATTCTGACTCATGCCGACTCTATGTATGTCAGAGGAAAACCACAGGGTTTTCGATGACTAATTTTTTGGAAGTAGATTAATAGGTCTTCCTTTCTTCCTAGGTGCTTCTAGATAAACTAGAACAATTAACTTTTTTATTAGCAGCCAAGTGCCTTAACCACTTGCCATGCTCAGTGACTCCATTGTAAAGCAAAACCACTTAAACTTGAGATCTTCAGTTCAGGCTGCTTGATTCAGGACTTCTTTTTGTTTTGTTTTGAGGGTTTTTTCTCACTGCTTAATACTTAAGAATCCTAGTTTTTAAAGAGCCAGGCATCAGATTAGGAAGAATTTCACTCAAATCCTGGTTCTGTCACTTCTGGCTGACTTTGTGAGAAGCTGTTCAATGTCCCTGAGGTTCATCTGTCTCTTTTGACAAGCAGGAATATCTCACTAACAGAGCTGAGAATGTGAATGAAACAGTGGATGTGGTGGTTTCATCGAGTACCGTCTTGGCCAATTGTAATAGGCACTCAACCAATGGTAGGCATTGCTGTTCAATGCCAGAGCCAGGTGTGTGAGACAATTCAAAGAGGGTATGAATAGTAATTAACACCTGAGCAGGAGGTGAGCGCCAACACTGAGGACAAGTGAGGCTTACTCTAAAATAATTGATCCTCCCTGCCTATTACTTTGCCATACTTCTCAGCATTTGAAGCACTAGGTCAACTTCTGGAGTGGATTCAAGTCTCTAAGCTCGACACACTAAGATTGGCCCAGTGACAGATCATGAAGATGACCCAAAACAGAGCCAAGTTTTCATCTGTTGTTCATAGGGTTGCACCAGATGGCACCTTAACAACAAGCAGTAGCCAGCAAAGAATGAAGAAAACTTTGCCTCAACTCAAAGCTATTTTGCATGTGATGATGTCAGAATGTATCCAGAAGTAAACCATCACTAGCACAGGAGTTATCTTGGAGACAAACTCTGGAATCAGGAGTTCCTGGAGAAGGTTTGGGCCCAGGACCACATGATGCAGACTTGAAGGAAGCATCATTCTCAGAGCTCTCCCTGCACTGATTTCACCCTGAAAGAGACACCTCGGCACATTTTGTGCACTGGGCGCCTCACCCTGGTTTCTGTCCTGGATCGGTGTGACACACCCCTAGGTCTTTCCTGTCATTCATCCTGAAGATTTGTCCCTTCACTGAGCCTGTTCTAATGAGTCACAATCACAAGGCGTCGATGGTTTCCTGTGCCATAAATCTCCAGCGTCATATGGTAAACAAGGAACTCTGGTGGTGGTTAGTTCAAGCCCACCAGCTGCTCTTATTGTGATTTAAAGCCCTGGACACCCAGCAGTGGGTCACTAAGAGAATAGATTCAATAGTCTGGTTACAGTGGTGGGAGGCAGGGGTGGGGAGGAAGAAATCACATTATTTATGAAGATTTGCGGGAACATGAAAATACAGCCTCTCTATTGATCCAGGAAGGCTTGCTTCCATAGCGTTCCTGCTTCCGGCTAGTCTCAGATTCACTCACATATTTAATGTTCAATTCTCTATTGAGCATCTCCTCACTACATACGGCAATCACAGTGCAGTGAATGGGCATACCTTCGGTATGAGGCTTACGGGAGTCATAAGCCACCCATGCCTAATATGCTGGGGTGGTCCTTGGCCATTTCCACACATTCCAGTTCTCCTCTTCCTTCTCCTTGGAAAGAGGCAGAATTCAATTTCCTTGCCCTCTGGAAAATAGGCATGCTCATGTGACTTGTTCTGACCAATGGGAGATGAGTAGGCATTAATGTATGTGACATTTAGGAGGAACATTTAATAATGTACGTCCTACCATAGTCTTCTCACCACAATCAGCAATGTTCTAGTGAGAATCCCATCAGCCCGAGACCAGACTGAGGAGATGTGACTAGGACCCCCAGAAGACCCGTGATAGACATAGAGTTTGTGGTGGGCTGGGGGTAAGAAAAGTGGGATGTGTGTGTTGGTGGGGAGGTGGTGTGTGTATATTACAAACCTTACTGACATAAAAGATGACTGTCTGCAGGCAAGTACGTCTTGGAGGGAAGACTTCATACTGGGACAGTTAGAGGGTCGGAGAAATAAAAGACCCTTAACAAGATGGATTAGCACGGTAACAATGGGCTCAAGTATACCAGAGATTGTGAGTATGGGAAAGGGTGAGTCAAGATTTAGATTTGCTGTTCATAGGGTCATTGTGAGTCTTAGTCAAGTCGATGGCATTTAACACAACAACAAAAATTGAAATTCCATCTTTCTTACTGATACAGAATGTCTTGATTCTTTTTTGTCCAACTTATATTCATAGTTAACCTATAATTATAATTGGGGAATGAGTGGAACCCCAACATGAGTCCTGGTTGCTATA